TTTATTCCTAATCGCCTCTTTGGGGTGACCTTAGTGCTTAGGCCCATACTTAGTTTGGGGTTTAATTTCTAACCCTCTACATAAATTTCATATTTTTTTTTAACGACTTGTTAAGAAAATAAATTAACTTAAAACTTTGATACTTCTTGTTGAGAAATATTCTCGTGTGTGTAAGGAAAGTTTATTCAAAATTAATATGCACACATTCACAAAAATGATTACACAATATTTAACATAGTTTGACACTAATACTTATATTTACACGAAAGAGTGAATAAAGTTCACTGAAAATAATAGAGTATAATTGTCCAATAAAAATGTGCTAATTTGATATCGATAAATGGTTCCATAGGCTTGCTGATAATTGAGTCATCAAATTCTAAGTTTTATAAGATTCTCATTCTTTGTTATTTACATTTCACAATTTTATATGGAAATCACTTATCATCCCCTTTGACAAGTCTCTCGTATACCTATCTCATATACTTATATATCTATGTATATAATAATTATTTAACTGTTTAAGATTCGTCTTTTCTTTTCGATTTTGTATTTTCATTTTAAATGATTTGCTAATAGTGGCCTATATATTGAGTGAATGTTTTTTTGTAATTACGCAAATGTTCTTGGTCAATTATATAACAAGTTTTTTTGTAATTACGCGAACATTATTGATCAATATGAAACATGTTTTTTTTTTTTATATTTATAATTATGCAAATATTCTTGCTCAATTATGAAACATAAATCTTTTATTTTTTAACAAATTATAAATACACCCATCAGGTTTGTTTAAAATTAGAATTGGTCCTATAATACTAGAAATTACAACTACCATTTGTTATAAATTTTCATTTAACACAATACTCAGAAAAAAAAAAAAAATCAATTCTCTTTTGCAATGATAAATCATCAAAATTGTTTATTGAAAATTATTTATCATATCATTAAAAGCTATTAATTTACTTAATGATTTATTTATTAACAAAATGGTTAACTGAAAAATATTTTTTATATCATTACAAATTGTTAATTTACTCTTGTTTGGGAAGTTGGCTATTTTAGTAGGCTAATTTAATTTTTAATTATTTTAATAGGCTAAAATATTTGCGTTTGGGAAGATGATTAAATTTTTATTTTTATTTTTATAGTTGTATGTGATGTTTGTGAGAGGAAAAGTAAAATAATTATGGATTTGACATAATATTTTGTCTTATTGGCTATTTTAGCCTACTTTGTCTTTTTGTGAATTTTAACAAAAAAGCCCCCCAACCCAACTTGCCAAACACCGCCTTAATGATTTACTTATTAGTAAATGTGATCATTCATTATGCGAGTATGATTTATGTACTAATAAAATTAGTTATTTGTATATATGTGTATTTTCTTTTGCTTCTTTGTTAGTTCAGTGAATTATGTTAGTATTTTTTTTAGATGAGATAATTATCTTAGTATTTGTTCTATATTTATCTGTTGAGAAAAGTTACACACCATAATTTTTTTTTTATAAATTCGGAATAAATTTTAAAGACTCATAAATTCACCCAAAATGATATAATAATAAATTTGGAGTATATATCATTGATTGTATAACAAATCAAAAAATAATACATATCATACCATATAATTCTATTATATATTTAATTATTCATTATATTCAATTTCATAAAACAATATTTTAATTTTTAAAAAATTATCAAAATACAAAATTTAGATATATTGTAATAATAGCCCATGACTTCTTAAACTAGATGTATTTACTTTTTTAGCCAATTAGCCAAAAAGTTACTAAATTAGCCAAAAAGCCAACAACCCATACCAAAAAGTCAAAGATTCTCTTTTCTCTCTACTTTTTGCACATCTTTTCGTAATTAGCCAAAAAGTCATCCCAAACATACAAGTTTTTTTTACCTACCTTTTTAGCCAAATAACCAAAAAGTTACTAAATTAGCCTGTTCCCAAACGAGGCCTTAACTACTCCTCAAACAAGACTTAAATAATTTGCATTTCCATTCATGAATTTCTAGTCCCACTACTTGGAACCCAACTGTTCTGGTCCTATATGTAACTTATTTACTAGGGCGAATTGTACTAACAGTTCTTATAGTTTGGGACTCGTGTCACTTTGGTCCCTAATTTTTCAATTATAACACGTTTAACTCTACATTTTAAATCTTGTTCCAAATAAAGACAATTGAAAATGCCATTACTTAATTTCAAAGGCAAAATTGACAATTTGATAAAATATAAACTAATTTGACAAAATAAATGTCAAGAAAATATTTTTAAATTTTAAAAAATTATTTCTATCAACGAAAGATAAAATTATGTAAAATTGATAAATCTTTTACACATTTATTTATTTATTTATTTTACCAAATTAATTTTTATTATGTGTTTGGATGATAATTATGTAATAGGTGGTTGTTAAGATTTTAATATGTAATCGATATATTTAATATATGAAATATTTTTAATTTTGGATTTTTTGATTTAATGGATTAATATAATAATGATATCATAATTGTCGTCATATTTGACTTTTGAAAAAATAGAAACTAATTTAGTTAGCGATATCCGATCAACGTGATTTTTTACATGCATATAGTACTCAACGAGTTCTACATATTGAACGGTTCATATTATCAAAATGTGACCCATGGTGGCCCCCATGAGCTGAATAGCACAGTCTAAATGGTTTCCCGCGAAGACGACAATCATTTCTAGACCAGTACAGCAGACCAATCACGCGGACTGCCCATCACTTCAGCAAAAAGTTTAGTGGTATTTTTTTATGTGTAAATTTATTTTTTTTTGAATAGTGACAACTTTTTAACTTTTTGAATTTTTGTCTTTTTCAAGATATGTCAAACCAGGCCTTAATGAAAATAAAAACAACTACCCATTACATGGTCATCATCCAAATACATAATTAAAATTAATTTGATAAAAAAAATGTCTAAAAAATTTATCAATTTTGCATAATTTTATCTTTAGTGGCTAGAAATAATTTTTAAAAATTCAAAACTATTTTTTTGACATTTATTTTTATGAAATTAGTTTATATTTTTATCAAATTGATGATTTTGCCCTTGAAATTAACCAATAGTATCTTCAATTGTCCTTATTTGGAACAAAATTTAAAATGCAGGATCAAATATGTCATAATTAAAAAGTTAAAGACCAAAGTGATACAAGTTTCAAACTATACACAAATCTATACTCTCTCTCTATATAAGTAAATGTAGTAAATTTTCTAAAATTTTCAAATGTCATGAATACTAATATTTGAGACGTTGTCTTTCCTATGTGACAGTTCTTGTAGTCTTCCTTACTTCATTTTCCTAATTTTTATTTTTTTTAATATAATAAAAAGTCAAACAAAATATTTTAAAAAATTGAAATAAATAAATTTAGATAAAGATAATCTAAATTTATCAAAAACATATGTATTTAAATCTTTATTTTAATAAATCACATGATTTACTCTCTTTTTTTTTCTTTTTCTCTATCACATATTAAAAATTAAAAATTTTGAAATAATGAAATAACTATATAACTTGTTAATCTATATCTATTAAAAGTATGAATAATGTTTGGGACCCCCTTTTGGGGGTCACCCCCTCACCCCCCTTTGCTACGTGGCGGGTGGTGATTGGAGGAGCAGGAAAAAAAAGAAAAAGAAATTCTCTATCACATATTAAAAATTAAAAATTTTGAAATAATGAAATAACTATATAACTTGTTAATCTATATCTATTAAAAGTATATATATTTAAATCTTTAATTTGAATAAATTACAGGATTTACTTTTATTGTTTTCCCCCTCTCTCTATCACATATATTATAGTCTCTCCCTTCTTCTTCTTTTATTATGTTTTCCACTTACTCATGCGAGTTTTTATGAGTCAAGCTAGCAATAGTTTATTTTTTTTTAGCTTTCTTTTTCTTACTCAAATAACCAGCCATGATAGCTGTGACTTCAACCATCATTTTTGTATTCATTCTTTGAATATTATTTTTTCATTTGATATTATATACATGAACTTGATTATTTACAATACACCCGTATCAATCACGTAGTCATGATCATCACCATGACAACGATAGGGACCACCACGACAATTGTGAAAGAAAATTAAGTCCATTGTAGCTACCGCCATTGGCCTCAATAGGTTAATGATTTGGAGAAAACATGTTTGGATAATAGAGGGAATGAGCTAAACTACCGTGCATAATAGGGTTCGATTTTTATTTATTTATTAATTTTTTGACATATATGCATATATGTGTGTAAGAAATATGAAAATTTATATGGAAGTCGATATTTTTATGAATTCATTGAGAGCAAATTATGCAAAATTAAAAAATTTCAACATTTGGGCTTAGCTAATTTTGTTTATTTCAAAATTATTCAAAATTTATACATTATATTCCTTACATATAATATTTTTTTATTTAATTTTCTAAAAAATATTTCTTATAACAAGATGTTTTTGCCAATAGTTTTGATTGTTATCTTAATTTCATAAATTATAAATTGATAGTATATTTTTTGCACAATATAAAAATAATATGAAATTTGTTTAACAAATATAAATTTCATGTATAACACGGATTATACCATAACACAAATTATTACAAAAAAAATTTGTATTAACTCATTTTAAATTATAAAGCCGGTGTATAGCATGAATTACCACTAGTAGAATCCTATATGGTTGTTTTGTAAATTTTGTAAATTATGATGTAAAATTTTCTCATTCAGCATCTCAATAATTATTATATTTTAAAGATTTGATTTGATTTTTAATTTTTTTTATAACCATTAACCATAAGTAACAGTTTGATTCTTAATTTTCGCATGACATTGGGCTGATCTGTTCACTCGGCCCACTTTCTTGGTGTGTTTCTCAAGAAAATCCCCAAATCTGTTCCACCAAGCACTTTTCTTTCAGTCTAGGTTTTGCAAATAGGTGTTGCCTCTACAACTTGACTTGGGCATCCTGCAATTTGATTATTTATCTGTTCGAACAGGTAATACATATATATGGACTTGTACATGTATTAATCGATCGATTTTTAGTATACAATCTGATAAATTAGTTTATTCCAATTTAATTTTATGGTTTCCCCTCTTAATTCTGAAGCATTATCTCATCATTCGATTAGTTCTTGCTGTTTGGTTGCTGAGAAAATGAAAAGAAATGAAAAAGAGGAAATTTTGAATCTTTTTTCTTACGTTGTTTTTAGGTTATGAGCATGAAGTTCGATACGAGTGGTCTCGAGTCCCATCATGGGATGCTCTTTGGAGCAAGAGATGAGCTTTCCAGTGGGTTATCAGCTGCCCCATCTTTTGACATTCCCAATTCCAATGATGTGGGTTTGATTTAGTAATACCAGACCTTGATGATTTTTAGTAAGTTTTGGGTTGGTTTGCTTTTTAATTAATTAATTAATTTTTTTTTTTGGTTGTTGTTTCTCAGTTTGATTGTTTTCAGAAAGAAGCTATACAGATGGTGAAACCAGCAAAGGGCACAACAACTCTGGCTTTCATTTTTAAAGAGGGTGTAATGGTTGCTGCCGACTCTCGGGCTAGCATGGGAGGCTACATCTGTATGTTCATAAGTCTTTTAATGATGCTGTTTGTTTTCATTCATTGTTTTTTTGATGTTTTCAAATATACACCTTTGCTTACCACTTCAATTGTAATATTCACAGCCTCACAATCTGTGAAGAAAATCATTGAAATTAATCCTTACATGCTTGGCACAATGGCCGGTGGAGCAGCTGACTGCCAATTCTGGCATAGAAATCTGGGTATTAAGGTAATTCACTTACATTTTCCCCTATCTGCCAGTTCTGCCAATTTGGTTCCTACGATGTCATTGTCAAGTGTCAATTCATAAACAGGTTTTTCCAACACAGTAAACCCGGGAATTAAAGCATGCGAACATGGTTGTCCTTGCATGTGTGCGTCTGTATAAAATACTTTTGTCTTCTTCTCTGCATTGTTGTCTAGCTCTAATGCCATAATTTCTGTTAGTTACTTGATGTAGTTGCCCAATTGTCTAGTCTTGGAAAGCATTATAACCACCTAATTGTGGTACAGCTCTGTCGTTGCTGACTTGCTAAACTAACCGATCAGCTTGATGCACCTATGTGGTTGACTGGTTTAAATTTGACAGCAATTCCACAGTGCATTTTTTTATTTTGGTTTTAGTATCTGGGGGCATGAATTTCTCAATATTAAAATTTTTCTTGTCTATGTCACTAACAACATTTGTTTTGCATATTTTAGTGCCGACTCCATGAACTTGCAAATAAGCGCAGAATTTCCGTTACAGGGGCCTCAAAACTATTAGCAAACATTCTATATAATTACCGTGGAATGGGTCTGTCTGTTGGAACCATGATTGCTGGTTGGGATGAAACGGTAATAGCAATTGAATGTTATAGAAAATGCTGCTGGTCCTGCTGTTATTGGACTCTTATAAGCCGTATTCCTTGTGGTTTGTAGGGTCCTGGGTTGTATTATGTGGATAGTGAGGGAGGACGTCTAAAGGGAACAAGATTTTCTGTTGGATCTGGTTCACCTTATGCTTATGGAGTACTGGACAACGGGTGAGTTATTTTTCACCCCTTTCTTTTCTCATACTATCATATGAATTTTTAAATGCATTTCTTGTATGCCATCTTTTGGGACACCTTACATGAAGAGAACAGAACTACATGTGAGATTGTCTGGGAGAAATACTTGGATGTATTTGGAAAAGTTGTTTTCCTGCAACTTTCATTGGCTCAAGCTTCTCTGTCTGCTTCCCTTTTTTTTTTTTTTTTTCCTTTGCTGTTTCTTTCCCAATTCCCACAATGGATTTTGTTAACCACACTCCATCTCCAACGTTGCAAACGTGCTGGCGAAGCCAACTGAAAGGAAAACCATGGCTTGATGTTTCGGTTGCAGAATTGCAGCATTGAGTTTTGTTAAAATTTCCTGTCTTACTTGTAAAAAATTGATAAAGATATTGATTGTTTGAGATGCCAATAGGCTACTTGCCAGCCTTGTTGATTCCATATCTGCAACTCTTCTAATACCATAACATACTAATTCTCAATCACAATGATATGTTGCCTTACAAAAGAGGAATACAAGCATATGTTTAACTTAATCCTTGCTCAATCATAATTTCATGGCTATTGGAACTGAATTTCTCTTGCTTTTTCCATAACCAACATTTTTTTGGTGGTCAAATTTGGCTGTATTTTGCTGTTTATTTTTCTTATTTATTAAAAAAAATTATGTTTTCTCATTATCTTGTTCTACGTAGGTTTTAGAAATATTTGAAAGAATTTTATGCTTATTCTGTTGTTATTGTCAATTTGGTAGATATCGTTATGATATGTCGGTGGAAGAAGCAGCAGAGTTGGCTAGACGTTCAATTTATCATGCAACATTCCGAGATGGTGCAAGTGGTGGTGTGGCAAGTGGTATGCTCCCTCCCTCCCTCCCTCCCTCTCTCTCTCTCTCTCTCTCTCTCTGCATGTGTGTGCGCATGTGGGTTGTGAGGCTTGAAACCTATGACTTCATTTTCTTCTGTTATTGTCAGTCTATTATGTGGGACCAAACGGATGGAAGAAACTCTCTGGGGATGATGTTGCTGAACTTCACTACAGTTACTATCCAGTTGAACCAGCGGTGGTCGAACAAGAGATGGTTGAGACTTGAGGCCTTTGAGAGAGGGCTGCTTTGATGTTCTTTCTGTAACTCTTCTTCTTCTTCTTCTTCTTCTTCTTCTTTTCAAAGTAATGTGGTTCTCCAACTATTACTAAACAGCCTTACTGCATTGCAATTTAATTTTTCTGATAGTTTTTTCTTGCTGGTTTGAAAACTTGTAATTAACCTTTGCTTTGCTCTGCCAATCCTGCTTTTATTTTATTTTACAAATTTTAAAATTTTATCTTTGCCACCTTTATTGCTCCTAAATCTCCTGCATATGCCTTACTGAAAAAGTGAAAATTAAGGCTGTATTTGGATTTTAGAAAAAAGGAAAAAAAGAAGGAAAAGAAAAGAAAACGATTCTAATTCATCTATTGATTTTTCTATTGGCAAGTATAAAATTTTTTGGCTGATCATTACACATTATTATCACTTGTATCAAAGGAGTTTCTAAAAGGATTAGACTTCTCTTAAGTCTGAAATGTAGTTGTGTAGTTGTGAGATAGTGTGGATCTCATATAGTGTAAGCAGTTTAAGCTCTCTCTCATTTGTGAATTTCACGCTTTCTTACAACTATATTTCTATTGATTGGAGAGAAGTGGTGGCCTTATTAACAAGGCATGAGGCACCATCATCACGAGGCTCTCTTCTGTAGTCAAATTGGAAGATACCAAACATTTGAGTGCGATATGCATGGTAAGTAATGAAAAATTAGTACATACTTTCATAGTATCATTGTAATATTTGCACTGTGTTCTTAATAAATGAAAAAGTATAGCATATATATGTATTAAGTGAACTGTCTTTTATCTTTTAATAGCTTGATAAAAGTGAATCAACGTGTTTCACACTCAAAATTTTTCGATATGTGACAATGTGCGGAGTGCTTATATGCATTTCATTTGTGTGCAATATGGTTGGGCATGACAAGCTGATGACATATTTTATGTGGTAATAAATGGGGCTCCATGAACCATTTTGAATATTATGTACCAAAAACTTATGACCTTTTAGGCTAAAAATTCCCTTGTGTACAAAGCAAAATGATTCTTTTTCTCTTTCCATGTCTTCCTATTTCTTTGTCTAGGAATAATGTACTAGAGTGGGGCTTTACTTGTCTCTTCCTGGATAAAATAAAGTGATCAATACATGCTTGCATTAAAAATCATTCAACAATATTATATTTTATTTTGTTTGTCCTTCGAAGGAAAGAACAGAAAAAGGGGAAAACTGAAAAGAAAATGAAAGAAAACAATCAAACAATAGTAAAATACACCCAAGATTAGTTTTGATCTATTTGTTAGGGTGTTTGGTCCTCCTATCCCTATTATGCACCACACATTGTCAAACTAGAACTAGCAACAAACATTTTCATAACTTAAGCTAAACATTTTTAAAATCGTTCTTTTAATTTCATTTTCAACTAGGGATGTGGACGGATCGGTTTATATTGATTTTGGAGGAAAATCATAACCTCAACCATCCTTGGCGAATTGAGAATTTTTCAATTCATTGCCATTTCACCTATTCTCAAATCCAACAGGTTGGTTGAATATTTTGACAGTTTCAAAATAGCGGTTTGAGTGGATTGACCAAGTTAAAAATGCAAAATGAGAAATGACATTAGTGAGGATATAATCGTAAATTTTTAACAATTTATTATTTATTCCAAAACAAACTCACAAATTAATTGAATGCATAATGCCATTCAAGATTTTATTTCATAAATTGATAGACAAAACAAACATATTAGAAAGGGTAAATTACAAATACATTCCCTGATATTTGTTAAAGGTACAGATTATCCCTTGTGATTTGGAAAATTACAAATACTTTCTTGTTAGAATTTTTTTATTTAACAGAATTAACTAAAAAAATAAAATTCATAATTGCTCTCCTATACAATAATAAAATTACTTCAATTATTAATTGAAACATATTTCTAACATCATTAAAAACTGTTAATTGACTTCATGATTTATTAACAAAACGGGCAATTTGTTACGAAATTAGAAATCTCAAGGAGTGAAATGTAATTTTAAAAACCACAGGGGTGATTCGTATTTTAATTAAGGGTGTATTTATAATTTAACCTATTAAAAAAAATATGTGATGAAAATAAGGAGGGGGTGTTATTTGATTAATGGTAATAGAGTCATAAAAAAATTATGTGTGCAAAATAATTTTAACTATAAGTCAATCAATCCTTTTAATTTTATCATTTAACCTGTCCAACGTACCCATTCACATTCTCAAGCTGCATAGATTGATTGGGTCGACGCAAGTTAACTGATTAACGAATCTTTTTGCACACTTTTTTTACTTTTTTATTTTTTATTGGATATTTATAATCCTATATACGAATGAAGTATAAATATCATTACTCAACAATAGAACAAACGAAAATGGAAGCACACACTCTCTCACTTTCTCTCTCTCTTCCTCTGTCCTGGTTTTGTTAGCTTCTAAGCATGTTTTCATGATTGGGAGATAGAAATAATCATCATGTGCTTCTTCATTAAACAATTGAAAAATCATTTGAATATTATATTGGATAATAAATAGCCAATGAAATGAACCAAGTCACCAAAAGTCTTCACCAAGAAACTCTTTTTTTCTTTATTCTTCTAATTTTTTTTTCCTCTCACTCAAAGCAAGAATTGTACTTGAGAAATTACACAAATAAAAGTGAATGAGATTGAAAGAATGTCTTTGACACTATCATATCATAAATACAAGTTGGTGGTGTTGGTTATTTGAAAAAGATTGCTGTAATAAGAATCCAAACCCTGCTTTCCTCACCCACCCAAACCAAAAACAAATGATAACAAATCAAGTGTTTTTTTTTAAAAATTTTATTTGGGGGCACTGTTGCATGGAACTGTTATGTCCAACAACAACAATTGAAAGGCAGTGGTTGAAGAAATTGGAACTATTTTCCTTTGTTTTTTGTTTTTAACTGGAACTAATTTCCTTTGTTTGATGTCTTCTGCATTGCAATTTACATTTTGTAGATTACATGTATAGCCTTCAAGCCCACACTTGCAACGGCATGATTAGATAGGTTTTCAATACAATCATGTCATGTTCATGCTAGAAAAGGGTTTGGAATTACTACCAGGAAAGAAAAAAAAAAATTGTTTAACTTTTTTACGTCGGTAGAATGAGTGGCTACAAAAAAGATATGCTATTTACCATGGCCAAATAGCTCAATTTAGGGTTCTAGCTTCAGTATAAAATTAGAGAAATTTCAATTCTCTATCTAAAATTTAAATATTTAAATTACGTTAATCTGAATGTTGTTTTTCTTATATTGAATTTTTTCATGAGAAGAAAGATTCATGATGGTAGTCAATCCTATTTGATGAGACTTAAGACTTGATTTGATTTGATTTAATTTATTAAATTTTTTCATGAGAAAGTGAACCACTTCCCCTCTTTCTGGTTTAGACTTTCCATTGGTCAATGGATGATTATAGAGGTTTTTTCAAGTTATAACTCCAATTTCAGCGAATCCAAATTCTTACTATAACCATTAAGATTTGGTTTCCCTTCGGTCTGTGATCGGACTGGAGGGTGCTATTGAGCTTGTGGGCAGTGGCGGAGAGAGTAAGGGATTAGGGGGGTCACGTGTTCCCTCTAGATTTTGGATTTTTTTTTTCTTTTTTTGTAAATATAAAGAAAATATTTTAAATAAAAAAAATTACAAAAATATTATTACAGTGAAATGTCAATGACATTTTAAAAAATTATGAGAACAATAATAGTTATTTTGATTGAAAATGAAGAGACTACTATAAACTATATTATCTATGAAAATTTTATGAAATTTTTTGAATGTAACGATGATGTCATTATTATTAACATGCAAATATAAGTAATTTCATTATAAAGATATGTAATTTATTGGATTGTTAGTTACATTTTACATGTGAGGTTCACTTTCTATGTGTTTCATTACTATTAGTTGGTGATATTACATACTAATGATGATGTGATATTACCATTATATTGAATTTTTAATCAAATTTTATATAAAAAATAATTTATCATTATATAATTTATTTTAAGACTTAAATCTATATATATATATTTTTATATTGTCCATGATACATTAGTTATAAATGACATTATTTTTTTGATATTTCTTGAAACTAATCGTAAAAGCTTGCCTGAAATATTTTTGTAAAATTTTTTGATATTGTAATTAATAAGTGCCCCCTAATTTAATTTCCTGGCTTCACCACTGCTTGTGCGGACTCATCACGGGTCCTGTTTTGATAATCTGAATCGTTTAATATGTAGAACTCGTCGAGTACTATATGTTTGTTTGTAAAAAATCATGTTGATTGGATATTGATAGTTATGTGATCGAATTAGTTTTGTATATAAAAAAAAATAGACGGTGAAAAAATAAACGATTGATAGAAATTTGATCTGATGAAATAGCGTTGATATTCGATCAACGTAATTTTTTATAACCGTATAGTATTTAACGAGTTCCACACATTAAACAGTTCAAATTATTGAAGTAGGACCTGTAGTAGATCCTCACAGGTCCAACAACATCCTCTAATTCGTTCGTGGAGGGAAGCCAATCCCATCCATTAATATATTGGCTCATTAGTAACATGGAATCTTTCATTTCACTAGTTTGAGACTCAGATCTCAATTAAAGTTCTCACAAAAATCTTAAATTGATTTGGAATGTTTAAAAAGGAGATGGGGGATTTGATTAAAACTCATTAAATGAAAGTAGTCTTTAGAAGCCCCTTTTGTAACACCCCCTAAAATCCAAAGTCTTTAGAGTCCTAATGAAGGATGAATTTCAAATCCTTTTCATCACATTTGCATGCTTTATATCATGAGTTAGGTTTTACTACAATCCATTAAAGAGCAGTTATGAGAGCGAGAGAGTGTGAGTGTAAGTGGCTGACATGCGGGGTTGTTTTAAAAAGTTGGTTAAAAATAAATTTTTAAATTTGTTTTGACTTTATTTTAATAAAAATATATAAAAAAAATAAAGAGATAATTACTATGTTTGGTTATCATTTTTCAAAAATATTTTTCAAAAAATTCTATTTTTTTATTTTTCGTATTTTTTTGTGTTTACTGAATTTTTTTTAATATTTTAAGCAATTTTTTTAATTTTTAAACATACCTAACATACATATACCTAAAAAGTAAAAAAAATCTTTTAAAAATTCACTAAATATCAAAAATACAAAAAAAATACA